TAGCATTATTTTTTTCACTTTTATGTATAAATAAGGGTTTTAATTTTGTTGTCAGGCTTAGGTAGAAGAAGTCTGAAAGAAGAGGAGGTAGTTATGACGGGCGGCAAGGTCTACTGTTGAGAGCCAGGTCATATTCAATTGCAAAAGAGGTCCGAAAGAAGAGAAATCTTGCTATAGCAGGTTGAACATAGATACCAATTAGGATAACCGGGTTAGTTTTAACTTGTAATTTAGGTAACATTAAGTTTAATGCTACGGCACTTTTTGTTTAAAGATAGTTCTTATACGCTATTTGCTGACAAGTTAAGAGTTTATCACTTACTTTCTGAAATGCAATCTAGTATAAAATTTTACGAGTCTAGAAGATTCGTACAAAGTCTAATAAAGTTAAAACATAACTGCCGAATTTTTTTAAAAAAAAAAAAATTGTATATCAATTTCTTAATTTAGTTAAGATTACTTGCAAGAATTTTAAATTTAAACTTACTGATACAAAAGCGCGATTTTATACTAAACAAACTGGTCAAATTACATTAAGCAATCTTGTTTGCAAAGTACTATTCTACTTATACTAAAATTTTCATAACAATTAAGAAAATTTTTATTATCATTTGATCAATTAAATGATCCTGATTTTTTTTTTTTTTATAAAAAATTGGGTTTATTGGTGTTTTATTGTTGTTTAATAATTACCCAACTAATAAACTTTTCAATGATTATAATATTTCACATATGAGGAGGAGTCAATAAAAAATCCAGGCAAATTGTTTTTAGTAAGTTTTTTTTAAAACTTTAAATTAAAATATCTTAGCAACTATTAGACTAAACTTGATGAAATTTTTTTTATTTTAATTTTATATTAAAATAAAAAAATTTCTATCAAGTTTGGTTTAATAGTTGTTGAGATATTTTAATTTAAAGTCTAAAAAAAATTTACATAGAAACAATTTGCCTGGATTCTATTGACTCCCTCCCATATAGTACATACAAAAAACAATCTAAACCATATTTTGAATAGCAGTTATTCAATGAAAAGAATTAAATAAAGTATATAAATTTGATATAAATATATATACTAATACTAATATTTGCTATTACTTATTATCGATTTAAAATTTATCATAATGGACCATAATTCTGGTGCTCTAACTACTAATGAGAAAGCTATAATCATATCTGTTTACTTCTACCTTCAAAAAAATATAGATAAACAAGTTATTAAACTGTCATATCATCAAGACTTTTGTCTTTACAAAGAGGTCGCTTTAGCTACAGGGGTTAATGAGAGAACTATTGCCCGAGTTCTTGCTAAATTTAACAAAACCAGAGAGTTTGCATTACCAAAACAAGACCAACAGCCCCCTCAGAATTTTAATTCAGAATATGTAAATGCTATTCGTGATATTATTTTTTCTGCAAACCAAAATTGCCTTTAACTTACCTTACAAATGATACTCTTCGAATTATCTGAATTAAACTTTTCTGTCTCAAAAGCACAACTTGCACGTTATTTAGCAAAGCTTGGCTATTATTATGGAAAAGGAGGGTAACAAAATATACTTTATGAATCTCCTCAAAATATAGCTTACAAAGCACATTATCTTCATCGATGCTTTGAAAATATACAAGGTAAAAATGATGTACTAAACTTTCCTGAAGCTTTTCTTGATGAGTCTTAATGTCACATGAATTATAATCGAGGTTTGACCTGGCTTTCAAAGAATGAACCAGTTTTTGAAAAAGGGAGAGACCAATGTTTGTTATTTTTGGTGCAATTATTGTTTTCCGAAATGGAAAGAGTAATCAAATAAAAGGCAAGTTGGTTTCTCAGTCTCTTCTCATATGGGATCCTTTTGCAAAACCAGGAACTGGCAAAGGAAAAAAAAAACATGCAGAAGTGTGGGAGGTAGTCCCAGATAGTGATTTGAACCAAGAAAAATTTCCTTAATCGGTTAACCGAATAGAATTATTTCATTCAACCAGTTGTCAACCGATTAAGATTAAGATTAATATCTATACTACCTTCGGAAATTTGGGATCGTCTAAAGCGGAGCAGAATCACGTGATGTAAGACCAATCGAATTATAGAATTTTGATGATCGCCGACAAAACAAGAAAATACAAAAAATAGCAGTCTAAAGCTACCTTGGGTAAGCTAAGTGAAAATGTCGGGAAGACAATTTTGCTTATATCGTAACTATTTAAAGCCTGCTCTAACCATAATTCAAGATGACCATAACCCTAAAATTAATTCAATAAAATATATATTATAAGAATTTACTCCACTTTAGACGTCCCCTTTATTAATCCCGCCAACCGGTTGTATCGGGTCAACCGATTAAGAATTTCCTCAACCGGTTATCCGAAATTTATTCGGTTCGGGTCGGTTAACCGATTATGGCTCAACCGATTCAAATCACTAGTCCCAGATGCCGTAAAGGCAGCTGGTATTGTTCCTAACAAAATTGATTACCATAGGAATTTTAACACCAAATCATTTGAAAAAATTTTTGAAAAGCTATATACAGATCTTTCCTCTAATTATGGTCCCTGTATTATCTATATGGATAGTGCAAGTACCACAAGCAGCATAATGAAGTTATGCCAACATCCAACTAGAATAAATCTGCAATAATTGAATAGTTAAATGCTAAAAATATTAGGGTTGATAAAAATTGAGTTGTATGAGTTAATTAAAGAGAAAAAAAAATTAGTGCCCTTTGCTTCTGTTGTTATTGCTAGAAAATTTGGCTACCAAATACTTTATACTCCTCTGTACCATTGCGAACTTCAATCCATCGAAAAAATATGGAGAGTAGTAAAAAACAAGATTGCTATTTAACCATGATTACTAGATATTCTCTCTTTATGAAATGCATTATTGCATTTATTTCAAGAAGAAATAAATTCTAATATTGTTACATCATCTTGGAGAAAATATTTAAAAAAAGCAAGAAATTATTTGGAAATGGTTAATATTGAGTTGTATGATACAATAACAGCACTAATATTTCGGATTTGGAAGATTAAAATTTAATAGTAAGTTATTAATAATCAAACAAGAGATTTACTACATATAAAAGTCTTTTTTTATTAGATAAATCGCTCTTTATATATTAATAAAAATATTCATTTAATCTTTTATATTTAGAATAAAGTTTTAATAAATTTTAAAAAATTTATTACTTATTTGTTTTATAGTTTAAATAAGCTTAAATGAAATAAATTTTTTTTTAATTTTGTTTTAAAAAAAACTTTAATCAACTTTACTAAATTATTAAATAGAATTGATTTATATATTTGAAAATATATATAATTAAAAACTTTATTATAAAAATAAAAATTTTTCTTATAAACTTTTCAAATTACCTTAGCGAATAATTAAAATAAATCTTAAATACTTAATCGTTTTTAATTGATTTAACTAATTTAAAAGTTTTATATAGAAAATTGTTATATTTTATTATAAAAATTTAATTTTATATATTTTTAAATATAAATAATAATATTTTTTAATAATTTAAATAATATTAATAAAATAGTTTTAAAGATTTTAATAATTAAAGTTTTTTTTTAAAAAAAAGAGTAATTTTTTTTATTAAAGTTTAATTGATAATATCTTAATAAAAAAATTTTCAAATTTTATAAAAATTTTACTAAGTAATTATTATAATCTAATAAATATTCTATCTTACTATAATATATAGTTTATATAATAAAAAAAAAGTTTCATATATAGTAAATATATTATTTTAATTGTTATAATCATTATGTATATTGATAAAATAGTATATATAGCTAAATTGTAGTATATTGATAATTATAGTTTTATTTTATAATATGTTATTTCCCATAAGTTAAACTTTATTTTAATATTAATTAATTATAGATTATATATATATATTTTAAACTTGCATTATATATATATGCTGTACTAGAAGTGATAAGATTACCTATACCTTGTATCTTGAACTTGAAATTTGTATCCTTATAAACAATTGTATATTTTAGCTTTATTAATGATAATTTATAAGTTCTTACATATGAATATGGATTTCATCATAAATATTTCTATCCAACACTAACTCTAATAACTCTAAATCAGACCAACCTTAGTATTTTTGCTACTATGCAATAACAAATATGTTATTATAATAAATATTGATTTTTGTTAAAATGAAAAAAAAACAGATTTTACTGGTTTATAAATATTACAAAAAGATTTCAGAATTTTAAAACATGCGACAATACATTAACTTTTAATAAATATATAAAAATTTATGTTTATATATATACTTTCAAATTTATTAAAAATATACAAAAATATAATATTTAATATTGAAAAAATATAAAAAAAATGGAAGCTCAATTAATCTCATATTTTTCTAGTAAGAATTTAGAAAAATTATTAAAGTTAAATCAATTATAAATATGGCGA